AGAAACATTCATGAGGGGACTCAAAAAGTTACCTAAGCCAATTCCTTTAGAATAGTTTAAAAGTTGTCAGAGCCCCATCTACCTTGACTTTCCTGCAATGTTCCAGGGAATCTTGCTTTTTGATGTTAAAGATTAATCCCACATTCCTTTTCTAAGGCTGACATTTCTATATCGAACCTCTTTTCATTATGAACACTATTACAAAATATTGGTATATTATTTGAGTTGAGATCCTTATCCCCACACATCACGTCTCCTTTGCCATCTCCCTGGTGACACAATTTCTCACTCCAGTCTTTGCTTCTATATGTTGACACTGGCAGCACTAAAACAGCCCTGCGTATGTGATCTGGTGCTAAAAGGTCTATGCCAAGTGCTGGCACAGCTTTTACATTTAAAAATATCACTTTCCATTTTCTGTTCCACACATATACAAAACATCTAATGTTACCATGCCTCTTACACAATAATGGTATAAATTACAGGTTTGTGCGGATGGTAAAGAAATGCCAAAGTCTGACACTAGATGTTCAGCTGCTGAGAGCGAGGGCAGAGGGTGACCTCACCATCCGCATCGCCTGCAAACCCTTAGTATTAAATGGCATTAACTTGTCAAAGGCTTTGGTATCCTCCTTTATATTTTTGCTGCTCTTTTCTCGTAGATCCCTCTTTGCGGCCCTTAGCAACTTCTTGACATTCCTTAGCCTGCCTTTATATATTGTCCTATCCTCTTCATTTCCTGAATGGTTGAGTTCTGTGCCCGTTCTCATCTCTGTTGCCCTCCACAACCTTCTTGGCCAATTACATTGAGTTATTTCCTTCCCACTCCACCCCACAACTTATTTGAGGGACAGATTTCTTTTGCGTCTAAAAAAAAACGATCTCTTTGAAACATCCCCATTTTCCTTTACATCATTTCCTTTTCATATCTCCGCCTATTTTAAATGTGTTCAAGCATTCCTTCACGCCCTCAAAGTTAGCTTGTCCGAATTGGGCTTCTTCAATAGCTTTCCTTTAATATTACACTTGCTTTATGCAGCTGCTATTTATCATCAACAGAACATTTTCTATCATCCATTCTTCAGATGAGACATTAACCCAAGGTCCTGTCTGCCTTAAGGTGGACGTTATAGATCCTATGGCATTATTCGAAAAGAGAATGCAGTTTCTCCTCAGTGTCCAGACCAAAAAATCTCCCAAATAAAATTGGGCATTCACTCCATGAGGGGCATTGCTTTGCGCCAATCCACATTATCAGTATATCCTGTGAAACTCTTTAACAAGGCTCGATGATGTAATAAGGTGCTATATGGAATGCAAGGATTATTAGTTGTAGTATTTTAAGGAAAAAGAGTTCAGTGAAATCTTTATATAAATGATCTTCAAAAATGTTTTAAAAATAATTTAGTGCAGGCGAAGGAACATCTGATATTTGGGAGCATATGATGCCAATCAAATACAACTGATTCACTGTGGAAGGAATTTCAAAGGCCTATGTGAAACTGCAGCCACATTGAATTAAAAAATATATAAACCAAAAGATATTTGCTCCTTATGCAACTGAACACGCTTGCTAACCATCTGGTAAGAGCACCATCTACTGGATGGTAGCATTTTTCCTCTTTTGCCTGGAATATAACTGAGACTGGAGTCGATCTTCAGCTCCCAAGATACTATACAAATGAGTTTCCCCTAGTGTCCAGACCAACAAACCTACAGATCACTTACCACATGAATGTTTGTGGTTCTTGCTTGTATAAGTAGTTGCTGGGTTTGAATGCAAATAAAACCAGTCACTACATTTACAGCTATACAAGCTATAATAGACAACACGGTTATAAGGTGCCTCAGTTTAGTGCATGTCTGAGTCAACTAACACCTGAACTAATATTTTGTATGTTAGTTGACTCATTGTTCACCATGTTAAATTAGTCTGAGGCAGCAATAAACAAGAAAAACAAGATTCTGGGCTATATTGTCAAATCAATTGAATTCACATCACCAAAATTCATGCTCAAGCTACATAAGTTCTTTAGTCAGGATGTACCTACAGTAATGCATACAGTTCTGGTCACCATGATTTAAGGCGTCTGTCCAGGCTCCAGGAACAATGCAGAGGAGAGCCACGAGGATGACCCCCAGTGTTAGAGGAATGAGCTTTGGGCAATGATTAGACAAGCTAGGGCTCTTCAGTCTTGAAAGAAGACATCTCAGAAGCGACCTTATAGAGGTATATAAAGTTTTAAATGGGATTGAAAATACAAACCCAGATCAATACTTTCAGTCCAGCGAGATAATAGAATAAGACGTAGGACGTAGGTTTAAGACTTACAATTGGCAGTTTCAGGACAGATATATTTTTTTACCCTGGAGGTTGTTCTGGAGACAGCAGTTAAACTCAGGAATGTTCTGTGAAACAAAATCCACTTAAAGAAGAGCCCAGCCTTGCCTTACGCATAGAAAGCCTGACAGGTCTTAACAAAGATTAGGAATGACCTGGTCAGCTATAGAAGTTGTGTTTTTTATGCTTTTGATTGTTTTGAGTAATGAAGATGAAATGCTCCACCCTCCAACTTTCAAGTGGCTTCAAGCATTTGGCTTCTCTTGAGATGGGAAAGATTAGCATGTTCACTCTGTAGAACTCAGAGAGTTGGCAGGAAGAGTAAATAGAGATGCTAACCTCACCTCTGCTGGCACAGCCAACAATCCCCCACATAAAATTGCTCATTTACTTCATGGCTCTCTTTGGGATCTTACCACACATATTGGCTGTCACATTCGCCTACAAGCAAACATGCAGTCACTACACAGCAAATTCTATGAAGCACTTTTATACCCTACAAATATGAAAGGTCCAATATCAAATGTAAGGATAATTATTATTATCTACAATTTGTGTATCTATGTGGAGTTAATATATCTTGGGAGGTGTAACATGTCCAATGGCACCTGATAATCTCTCAAGAAGTTTTATAGCTAAGCACAGTTCTATTGGTGTACTTGGGTGTCAGCAGTAATATGTATATTGTACTTTGAATTTGGTTGATTCAGATGACTGTCATCCGTTGGCCCTGCTATAGTAATATTTTCTGGGTGAAAGAATTCCAGTCAATTGATATAATACACAAAAACAGAAGTTTCTGAGAATACTCAGCAGGTCAGGCAGCATATATAGTCTGCCTTATGCACCAGCCGAAACTGGATCAATTCAAAGATCATGGCAGTCTCCCACAATATCCTGTGCATTATAGAATGAACCCAGCCTCAAAGCTCAGGTGGTCCTGGCTGGAAACAATTTATGGTTGACACTGAGCCCCTGGTGGGGTGGGTAAGAGCTCTGAGATGCTTCCTCTAGTGAAGGGCGCAAAACAAATGAAAGTTGTATATATAAATATATAGGCTGCATTACTGAGTAGGTTGTGGACTTATCTAGTGATCAAAATTAATTACTTGACGGCCTCCTCTCACTAATTCTTTCCAATGGCCTGAAGGCTGAAACTCCTTACTTCCCAAGCCTTTGCTTCTTCCTACATTCTAACAGCTTTTGAAGTTCAAGCTTAATGTCACTAAATCATCACATTTTGTGTGATCCTCTCTCTTTTTATCCTTGTGGTGTCCAGCACTTTGGACTCTCACTTTGTCCCACATTTCTTTAAAACACGTTCCTCAAATCTCACTGTGCCATGAGTTGCTAACATTTTAATGCCAGAACTTGAAAAGAATGATTGACTGAAAACCTTCAAATTTCAAGTGTGCAGACGCCAGTCACTGCAGGCATTCAGGAGCTAAACGATGTCCCGATCCACAACATTATAAAGTACCATGTTATAGAAAAGATATTACAGCTCCTGAGAGGGTACCAGAAACAAAAAGATGTAACCTTGAGGAGAGGGTGAGGAGATTAGGACTTTTTCAATGGAGCAGAGGAGGATGAGGAATTCAGGTGAGATAGAGGTGTTTCAGATAACGAAAGAGTTTGAAAGAAGTAATTGTACAAGACTCTTTCAACTGGTAAGGGATTCAAAGACAAGAGGGCATGAATTCGGGATTGTCCTAGGAGAGCAAAAGGGGAGGTTTGGAAGATTTTCTCTTCTCAGAGGCTTGTCAGATATGGCATGATTTGCCAGCGGTGCTTGTCAGAAGAGAGTAAATTGTGCCATTTAAAAATATAACTGGACAAACACATAGAGAGGGAGGGTATTGTAGGGTACAGAGAAAGAGCAGAGGTTTGGATTAGGATGAGAGCTTCTTGGAAGAACAAACACCAACACGAAAATATGGGTTGAATGGCCTCTTACATCAACAACAGCTTGCCTTTATATAGTGCCCTTCACGTGGGATAGCGTCCCAGAGCACTTGAACTCCTGCTGTGTTGTACATTTTGTTCTATGTGACCATAGATGTTATGATTTGATAGAGACACTCATATAGGGTAACTAACTGGGGGTGGCCAGTGGGGGGGGTGGGGGGTTAATCAGTAACCAGTGTAATTCACTCCTTCAAGTTAATAAAATTGCAAGACTTTGTATCAGGCTGCAAAGTGAGCATCCTAAAATTGGAAGCTCCCAGGGTTGGAATTGAATGGTGTTGCAAAGTAATTTGTGAAGCAAAAGTCTACTTACAGTAGCTCAATTGTAAACATCTGTATGGAAAATGTGATTCAAATTTATTTCCGTGTCTCTGGGCTTCAACAGCATGTATGGTGAATTACTGGACAAAACTATGCTACTGCTAAACATTTTAAGAATTGTGCAATATTTTTTCATTAAATCCCAGCTCTTTCACTCTTTTGCCATCTATAAATTTATATATAGAGAGTTGCATAGAACAGAGACTCAGCTCACAAAGAAAAAATATAAACCCGTACAATTTCTCTCACAGTTCTCAAACGTGAAACATTCTATTTGTGGAGGACTCCAGCTTTAATTTAATGTGTGTTCTTCAATCCTTTTATTTCAAACACTGTTTAAAAATTGACAACTTTTCTTTGTGGGTTCCAGATTTTCTGACTTCAAGCTTTACCTGCAACTATATGACAAGAGAGTCAGAGGAAATATCAAAAGCTGAAGGTTCTTTCATAAATCTGCTTGACTGGAGTTTCAGAAGAACTGCTGTCTGATAAGGAAAGCCAGGAGAACAGTTTCCTTAAGCTTTGTAACACTGGAAACAGCTTCTCAAATAGCTGCTGCTGTTATGCAAACCTTCATAAAAATATAAATATAAACCTTCAGGACTCCACAGAGCAAAATGAAGTCAGGACTGTGCATATGTCAGCTTCTGGGACTGTCTGTGTCACTCGTTGGATGGGTGTGCTCTATCGTGGCTACAGTCTTACCGCAGTGGCAAACCAAGAATACAGATTTATTGCAGATGGAGAACTTTTTTGTTGGGATTTGGGAATCCTGCGTTGCTCAAGAAGAAGGTCCAACACAGTGTAAATGGTACAGCAGTCTCCTTAGCCTCCCGGCACACATTCAGGTGGCTCGAATTCTCATGTGCACTTCCATTACATTTGGCCTCCTTGGCACGTTGGTGTCCATTTTGGGATTAACATGTGTCTCCTACTGCAGTAAAGATGAAGCTGTGAAGAGAAGGTTGACAACCAGTGGAGGAGTATTGTTCCTTTTTGCAGGAATCACAACCTTCATCCCAGTGTCCTATGTAGCTCATGTGACAGTGGTAGAGTTCATGGATCCCACTGTCCCTGAGGTTGTCCCACGATGGGAGTTTGGTGAGGCTTTGTTTAGTGGCTGGATTGGTAGCTTTCTTCTTCTGATTGGTGGTATAGTGTTGGTTACTTCCCATTGCTGCTTCAGAAAGTTCAGTGTGCCACTCAGTCTGAACAGACCTGTGTGGGTAACATTAAGACAGAAAACAGAGTACGTGTAATTGTAAGTCTTTGAGTCATTGGAGCTCCTTAGAGAAAAATGGGATCTCACAGTACTGCAAACAGTTTTGGTCACTGTGACACTAGGGGCTGCTCATGCCCTAAATGCAATGCAGAGGAGAGCAACGAGGATGATCCCCAGTGTTAGAGGAATGAGCTAAGAGAAACAATTAAACAAGCTATGGCTCTTCAGTCTTGAGAGAAGATATCTCAGAGGGGACCTTATAGAGGCGTATACATTTCTAAATGGGATTGAAAAAGTTAATCCAGAACAACGCTTTAAGATGCACTAGAACAAAGCTTCTACAAGGGTCAGAGGCGATGTATTCATGGCTGCAAATTATGGAACAATATATATCACTTTTTTTTAAAAGCTACTATTTGTTTTGCTTCAAATATCAACATGGGCTCTATCCAGACATGCATTCATCATAATAAAATGCCGTTAATTGCTTATGTCACAGTGACCAGAACCCTATGCAGTACTCCCAATGCAGCCTGACAATAGCATGATATAGCTTGAACATTGACGTCTTGGTGATCTAACCTGAACTGATTTGGCAATGTAGTCCAGGTTGGTTTAATGCTGCCTTGCATTGTTTTGGCATGGGGAGCAATGAGTCAATGAATACTCTCAATCTCTTTGAGCTTCCCCCTTGGCAAGATCTAATCCATCCATGGAGTACACGTGTTTCCTGAAACATTCATCCACACTTTCGACACCTCCGGCCTTGATTTCTCCAATGCCCTCCTCAGCTCCACCATTCATAAAATCCAACGGTTTCAAAATTGTCATCCCCCTTTCTCCGAATCTTGGCGTCAAACTCTGCAACTGTTAAGCGCTACAGGATGCTACCCCGTATGAAGGGCACTGTATAGAAACAAGTTGTTGTTATTGAATTAATGTCAATGATATATACAAGGAATAGAACTCTGGATCTTCATTCAAGATAATGTATAAAGTTTTGTATCTACCTCCGAACTCTGGAGTTCTTGATTTTAACAGTGCACATTTTTTGCAATGTAAGCCTCTGTATCTTCAAGGATGTCTCATGATTTACTCTAAAATCAGGGATACAATCATCCAGACTTTTTATTTTCACTGTTCCTGCACTTTTCGACCAAGTTCTCCCTCTTGTGGCAGGAGTCACAAACTGTCACAATTCATTAAAACAACTTCAACAAAGCAACAAATTGTATTTATAAAGCGCTTTCACGTCGTTTTTCATGTTGTACTAAACAATTCAGCTAGATTTTTCCTGATTCTGAATAAAGTGAGCACTCAAGTGCCAATAATTTAAGCTGTTAATAGAATTGTTAGGAATGATCCTTTTAAATGAATCACAAACACGTTGTCACAGAAGGAGATCATTTGTGCCATATTAGCTCCTCTATCTTTTCACAACACTGGCATCTCTTTGTCAAGAAATGGGAGAAGCTTGTTTTCTATACATAGTAACAAAAAACTTTAGAAATATACCCAACACGGTGCTTGAACACACAATCTTCTGACCCAGAAATGAGTGTGCGACCGATTGAGCCAATCTGAAACATTGACAGTACATGCCTGTACCATGGTATGAATGTATGGTTCTAAAGTACAAAATAAAGGATAATTATGGAGGCACATTGAGGTGACTTGGCAGTTCTTTTGTAGAAGTAAAAATAATTCTATGCCCTAGCAAACTGCTTTGGAAACAAGATATACATTGTCTGAAAACACTGGTGGTTTCTAGGCACCACAGATTATTCGTAGGCATTGGTGTACGCCAACAGACAAATACAAAATAACGCCTCAAGGTGTAGCTGAACAGTTTCCAGTAAGGCTCAGAGGTCCAGCCAGGCTGCTGTATATCCTCTTAATGAATGAAAAGTGTGAGATGTTACAGCATCGATTTAGTGGTTCCTTGTTAATGGGAGTATTTGCTCAGGCAACGGTTCATTCCCCATACAGTTTACAGTGCTTAATAGGAACAGTATTTCCCTTCTGTGGGATGAACCCATAAACTCCTTGAGTGCTGAAAGCCCTCTTACAACTTTGATAAAAGCACCACATTTCTCTGCAAATGGAACTTTTAATGAATTCCCAATGATGAATGTTATAATATGCCTTTTCTTTACCTAGGTTTTTGATCTTCAACAACAATATAGCTGCAATTTCACAGAACAATGATGCAGACAGAATCGGCAGGTTGGGATTGTTTGGCAAACATTCAACTGATAAGGGTTCAATGATGCTGCAAAGTCTCCTAGTTAAACTATCTCAAGTATAACACAGAAGTAACACAAGTTTCCAAGAACTTAAAAGACAACCAGAGAAAGCTGGGATTACTCAGCGAGTGTATCAGTGTCTGAACAGGTTAAGATTTCAGGCAGAATTCTTCCTTGGGCCAAGAATGATCAAGTTGGAAAAGTCCACTGACTGCATTCACCAAGTGGCAACCAATGGGTCACTAACAGATTGTAAAGCAATGAAAGAGAAGGAAAAATGAGAATATTGGCAGTGAACAGGATAAAAAATATCCCAATACCAAGAAATCTTCAAGCTGAGGACTCCTGGAAAGTTGCCGGTGAGCCGGTGAGCCCAACAGAAGGGAGAAAATAGAAACAAGAAGTGCCGGAGGTCTACAGCAGATAAATCAGCATCTAAACATTCCCCTGAATAAAGACAACAACAACAACTTGCACTTATATAATGTTCTCAACGCAGGGTAATGTCTGAGAACACTTAACAGTGGTCTCAGCCTTCACTCTCGAATGCTACTCCAATAAGTCCTCTCCTTCAAGTTGCACACGTGTAAACTCAGTGCTGGGTTTAAGTCTCAGTTAAAGCCATGAAAGTAAATCAAATGCAACGATTTTCTAGGTAAATCTTATTATTTCTTATACATTTTTGTAATTACAGCCCTGTAATTGCTACCTACTATCTATTATTCTACATATAATTTTAAAAAACAGATGAATAAAGGAAGTTTTATATACACTATATCACTAATCCAAACCAAAATTAATATAGCAGTGGAGGATAACATTTTATTAACATTGTTCTTTCAATTATTAAAAGCATATTTATCTGCATTTTGTAAATACATANTTTTTTGAAGAAGTTTGTATGGTTTACAAATTAATATGTCACAGGTACAGAACATATTCAGCATTAGCAGACTGTGATTAAGTACAAAGTGCAGGGCCCTGGAGTGATTAAGCCCAACGCAGAGATGTTATGTAATTAGAAAAAACATGCAGCATAAAAGTAATGCATAACAGTAAGTGATACAGAGTTCTCACAGCTATCTAGGAAACTATTAAAAGTCCAGTTTCCCTCAAAGGGTTCTTCTACAGAAGGCAGTGTTAAACTATATGGCCATTGAGTTGTGGTAAACACAAACACTTTCTATTCCTTAGTTAAAGAATGTTGCTAAAATATGTTTTGAATTACTTTCTCCCACTCAACATCTGAACAATAGTAGTGCCCAAAATAGTAGACAAGTTACACATCAGACACTTTTGCTGCCTCCAAACCAGACACTGACCAGCATCCCATGATACACCCAAAAGTCTAGTACAGCCCAACAAAACTCAAACTCAAAACATTCTGCAGACAAATTTCCGAGTACAGAAAATCCACGCTTTACAAGAAAAGCCCTGGGCCACCCGCTACCATGGGAAGACTGGAAAGTAGCCATGAGGCTATCCTTCTAAATCTTCAGCTGCAGCAGAATGAGAGAGGAATCCTACACAATAAAACTTGTAGAAATCTTATCTTTATTAATTTTACAATCGCCTAAATCGTAGTTACCCAAGTCCCATTCAGTTTCCTATCAAAACCACTTTGATTTCTTTGCACTTCTTGTATTAGTCGTCTCCTAACTCGTAACGCAGCTCCCCTACCTTCCAATACTCCCGCACTCACCGGCTGCATTGAATCGTGGGAAACCAGTCTTGATCCGTCAATGCATGTGCAGAAGAACTTCATTTCCTGCGATTCAATGCGATTTCAACCCTTGCCGGTAAGTGTGCATGTGGCAACAAGTCAAGGTGAATTAAAATGTAATCTTGACCCGTCACTGCTTGAGCATTTACCGTCTGCAGTCACAAACTACTGCATTCACATTTACCAGCTGGATTAAATTACGCATGCACAGTGTAGATTATTGATTAAATTGGATTTTCTACAATTTAAACAGTTTGCCTGCAACTTGTAAGTTGTAGTAAATGTTATGGTCCTGACTGATACAAGTTGATGTGAGTTTTACTCTATCACCAAAGTCGCATCTCACACAGACTCTGAACATTGAATCCTACGTAGATTGATGAATGCTGGTGGGCAATGTCTGAAAAACTGAGCAATGTCCATAAATTCACATTCTACTTCCTTGTTAGTGTGGCGCGGGTCAAGTTTCACAAATCCCTTGTTGTCCTTAAAGACTTTCGTTAGAATGAAATGTCTGATTGTCTGCTGCATATTTAGAACATTGTGAGAAGCTCATCACTGAGAGATTGGTTTTGGGCTGAATCGTTCCAATTGTGACCATGCAAGCAGCATCTGAAAAGTGGTCCCAGTCTGAGGAAGCAGGGTACACCTTGGAATTGAAGATCAAAAGTGCTTTGTAGCTCATTAGCAAAACCCACCAAGAAAGAGCAGAAAGGCAGAGAAAAGGGCAACGTACAGAGCAGCTCCTGCCTCCTGTGTTTGCAGAGAGCTGGGCAAGTAAAATTCAGGAGGAAAGTTGATGCTGTGATTGTTTACAGTGAAATTCAAATTCCAGGCTTCACACAAAAGAGAAGCAAACATACACAAGATAAGGTACCTCCAGCTAGAAATGCAGCGTTGGTTTGACGAAGATGCTTTTCTGCACCAAAGTATATGTTTCCTAAAGGCACAAACTGTAGCTACTTTCTGCAGTCCTTCCAATAGTATAGCCAACAACATCAGACCCTGGGCAGTAAAGATCTCAAATGGAGCAAAAAGATCAATGGTCCTCATTCTCTGACAGAACATCATTTTGAAACCTGGAATAGTCAATATATCGCTAAAGAAACAGACCCATCAGATCCTGACCCAAGCAGTACCATAGGTGATCTCCATCATCTTCACATGCCACACTCTCCACTGTATAATAATAATCCTTGCATTTGATATAGCGCTTTTCACTTCTTCTAAACATCTCAAGAATATACTGTAAAGTGAATTGACTGTATATTCAAGATCTTCGTCCTCACTTTCAAAGCCATCCATGACCTTGCCCCCTCCTACCTCTCTGACCTGCTGACTCCCTACCAATCTGCCCGCTCCCTCCATTCAGCGGGTTCTGATTTGCTCCATGTCTCCCACCCGACCCTCCCTACCATTGGTGGCCAGGCTTTCAGCCTCTCTGCCCCCACGCTCTGGAACTCCATCCCATGGTCCCTTTGCCTCTCTTCCTCCCTTGCCTTGTTCGAGGACGGTCTCAAGACCCTTCTCTTCAATCGTGCCTTCGGTCGCCCTCCCACCTCTCTGCCTTCCTTCACCTCTACACCATCCCTCCCTCTTGGGCCCCAACACCTGACTGTTCAGCGCTTTGGGACGTCCTCCCTATGTGGAAGGCGTTCTATAATTATAATTTTTGTTGGTGCTATTTGTGGGCGAAACGCGACAGCCAATTGCGCACAGTAGTGTCCCACAAACAGTCGTGGATTGAAGTGACCAAATTATTATTGTTTTTTTTTCTTAAGGGATTATTATCAGGCATGTGGAGTAAGGAAACTTGCCTAAGGTTTCACCCTGCCGGGAATCAAACCCAGGTCACTTGCTTGTGAGGCGAGCGCTCTAACCACTGAGCTACAGGAATCCACAGGTCTGTATGAGCCCTGTGGCTATGGCTGAGCCATCCAGCCCACAACAGAAAATATAATGCCCACCAGCTGGCATCAACATTGTTAGCCTTATGTCCATGATGTTGAAGTTGCTTTTTTTAAAAAAAAACTTGTTTGAAAATAAAACCAGAGAAAGTTTCCAAAATACGTGAATATTATATAAAAGTAATGCACCAGTCTGCAAACAGGACATTCAAGGAGTGTCCATTCATGAATGTATCCAAAACCTTGTATGTTATCTGGATACATTATAAACAAACAAGACACCTCCAAAGAACAGTCATTCTGGTAATTACAGACTCTTTTACTCGTATCTCTTTTACCACCCATTGTAAATGTATCAATGGGTGAAAAACACTGCAACAAGTCTGTAAAAGCACCAACATTAAAACCCATTCAGTAATACACAATAGTTGGGTATCCTTTGCAGCCAGTTAAAACACGGTGCATTCCCGTCGGTTTAGTAACACAAATTACCAGAGTAACACATAGGAACGTGTTATGAAACATTGCAAACTTTACTCCCATGTTTTCCTTTAATAGTGGTAGATTGAAATCACAAGGAACGTTTAGTCAACATATTAAACAGTGTTTACAAATCCAGTGTGTCCTGGTACTATTAACTCAAACAACAATTAATAATAATAATAATTCTTGCATTTGATAGAGCGCCTATCACGTTCTAGGGACGTTTTAAAGTGCTCATAGGATTTACTGAAATTAAATGATTGTATTTATTGGCACAATAGCATACAGTAATGTCCCACAAACAGCCATGAAATGAGTGAGCAATTTTATTTGGGGGATTTTGGCCAGGACACCTGGAAAATCTCAACTGTAGTAATTTCTCTGATATATGTCAGGAACAAAGCTGAAGTGATTCAACAACTTTTGCGTTCCCTAGTTTAATCGTTGTTGAGTTAGGTTGGTGATACAGTATTTAGGAATTTAAGAACCGGTTATTTCATCGCTAGGCAAACACCAATGTGTCATAACATTTGTGGGATTCAAGGCGAAGTGAGGTTGTGTTTGGTTGTACGTTTAATACACAAAAACTCAAACTATGTCTCCAAACAGCTTTGCACATTTTAATCTAGCACAGCGCATGCACAATGGCCTTCCTTTTGTGTTAACATTTCTGATTCTATGTTTGCTTATGCCAGAACCTGTGAGACTTATACACTGATGAAGTACTAAAGTCATTGGTTCAACTGCAACAGCCTTTTAAACATGTAAGCCAATAACGGAACAAATGTGAAAAATCATGACAACTCAATACTTGGAATTTAAACCAGACCATTTATTGCTGAAGAAAACAAGCCATACAGCTGCAAAGTGTTTGAGAAAAGTGAGCATGGGTTGTTGTGTTGGAACTCAATTTCACATTTTTTGGACAGAATACCCTGGACTGCAGTTTGAAATAGGAAACAAAGACTCAGGCCGCCCCTTGTAACACTGTTACAGCTTCTGTATTGGGTGCATCAGTCAATGGACAGAAACTCCATGTAAGTGAAAGCTAGTAGCCCCAGAGTTAGCAATACCATTGAGAGGGAAACATGACAAAGCATTGCTAACACCATAGAAGTGACTGCAATAAAGCTATTTACAGATTTACACACTGTAACAGCCAACCATTCCATAGCCAACATTCATTTAGATTTCTACAAGGATTACAAAGACATAAGAGTCACCAGTATATCCTGTACCTTTAGTGGATATCAGTGAAGCTATATCTTGGTAATCATAGCTTTATGTATATTCTCTCAGGCACAAAACTGAGGCCCAAATTGTGCTATATACAATATGGAATTAAATTATTATTCACATTTCTTATACACTCATTAAAGTAGCTATGTTTATCATCTGTTTAAAATCATTGGTAAAAACATTCTGGAAGTGACAACTCATCACTAAGAGCTGCCCCACCAACTACAGATTTTAAATTCAAGTTTACACTTAAGACAGCTAAAAATACAGGTCCACACATCTGCCTCCACTAATATTTGTCTTTATTTCTTGGCCTTTATTCAGCCTAACCATTTCCCCCCTAACTTCTTAGGTTAGAAAGCCTGAACCACTTTACTTTTGCCTGTTTTCATAGAAACAATGCAAACAACTTTGGATCTTTAATCTATTTGTACCATAGAAAAAAATGCCAGTGCTGCTAGTTGAGGTTTGCTGCTTCCCCCCCCCCCCCCCCACACACAGAACAGTTCAAATCAACCAGCTACTAGAACAAAGTGGGCATGTGTTCCTTGCAATTGGGTATGTGTTCATCTGTCAGTTTTATAGCCTACATCAGATTTAATCTCACATGTGCTAGTTATTCAAAAAAATACAATTGTGGATTTTTTTTATTGGATGATGGAATCAGTGAACTTTATTGTGGATCCTGGGAACAATAGAAGCTATTTTGGACATCTGCTGGGAAAGAGGAATGATGGTGCTTGTTTGGGTTATTACTTTAAGATTAAACAGAACCATTTTACTACGATTGATCGATTAAAAGGCAGGAATTAACGTGTTATATAGGTTTGAATACTGACAACAATTTCCCTTCAGTTTACACATTGGTTGGCATAAAATAAACGTCTAAAAGTGCTTTACTATAGTAACGTGTCACTCTACCTCACTGAGATCTGCAGAGAATGGTTATTGTTTTACAACACTGTCCTGCTTTGCAGAATAAATAATGTTTGAACAATTATAGGCTCAAGAAAAAAATAATTACGCAACCAGCCTGTAAAGGGTGTTGTGTTGGAACTCAATTTCAAATCGAAAGGTTTGTTTTCTGTCCCAGTTATCCCACTTGAAACACTAGTTTGCTGTGTAAAAAGTCTATAGTTCTTTGGTGACCCACTAGGTGGAGAAATCCACTACAGGAAATCCTTCCTGACTCAGTTATTGCCATACAACTGCACCTTCTATTGCCTGATCTTGGATGATGATAACGTAGTGAGTGAGAGAAGCTTTGTTAGCCGTCTAGACCGCAAAACTTTGGCTGCAAATTCAAGATTAAACCTAGCAGTCGTCATCGGTGTGGAGAAGATGAGAAGGAGGGAGGGGGAGATAAAAAATACTTCATAAACTAAATGAGACCCGCCTGTGAAAAGTTGTAAAAATTATTTGTGTGTCAGCAGTGAGTAACATTATTTTGTACACTCAAAGCTAAAATCAAGACCACAGTAGTATGGATCCAGAACTGTACATTCCCAGAGCGTTGCTGGTAGTATTGTTAGTGCCTGGGATGCTACCCCACATGAAGGGCACTGTATAAATGCAAATTGTTGTTGTTAGAAGAGGGACCTTGATTAGGTCTTGGCTCCACACACAGAGGTCTAAGTTGAAATGACCCGGTGAAAGGTGACCTTATCATTAGAGCAGTAACCTTTAGATGCAGAATGAAATACAAATATGTCAGACACATGGAAATTATTATATGTAGGTGGCATGTATGCAGATTTCTCTAGTTTGGATACTCTAAAGCATACTCTAAAGCATGGTAATGGGTTTCCATGTATCAGACACCTGGCTGCAACCTCCGCCCGCACCCCCCAAAAAAAGTACACATATCTTCTTTATTAAACTTCACATCTGAACCGCTCAATGGGAAGGCACCAAGGTACTTGTGGAAGGTCCGGGAAGGGGAGGAAACTGGGTGGGAATTCCATCTGGGCAGTCCCTAGCACTTCTTGGCATAGTCAATGGTTTGAGAGCAGGTTGATCCTTCAAATGTACCAAATACAGGGCTGCTACACACCTGCTTTCGGTCAGCTATCTGAACATTGCTAAAGTGTAAACCAAACACTGCAAACTTCACAAAATCAGAAAATAATCTGCAAAATGTAAGGCAACTGCAGTCTCTCACTGGCAAGAAAGAACTTTGGTGAACTTAATGATAAAATAGATACTCTAGTATAAGGCCAATGATTTTGTAATATATAATACATACATTGCAAACTCATTGTATTGTGGGTCAGCCTTATTGCAGGGAGTGTGGGTCAGTGCTGGTGCAACACAGCCTGTGAGCAAATGTGAGTGACTGACATGTTTGGTGAAACATTGTATTGCTGTGGATTCATTTCAACATCAGGAGTGAGTAGGATGGTTTCCCCAGGTCCATAGATGTTAATCAAGCATTTGTGAGAAATTGCAGACCTACTCTTTATCCCCACCACACAGACACACATACAATTACAATATGTCACAGGCCAAGGTTATTTGCATTTTAGCGAGTTACAAATGCAATTAAAAATCTTAATGCTATTCATTGGTGACCCCCCATCCAGACACATGGAATTAACAAGTCCCCAACGATGCCTTTACAAATCTGTTCCATAAAGTTATTTCATGAATTTTTTTTGTTTTTTAATCCCTTACTTGTACGGATAAAGAGCTTTAGTGATTGAACCCAGCTAGCTCCCAGGCCAGCTGTCTTAATGCTTTGACTGTCTCACCTGGGTGATTTTTCTCATCATCTACGGTAGGGTAGTAGATGAATAGGACACCATACAGCGCATCACAAGCTAAGCTACGATATGCAGTTTGTTTCCCCCAGTAGAGCAGTAATGACCACTAGCTCTGTTCCAGGTATGACTAGTTTGATCCACTATAGGTGCTGAGCTGATACATGTACAAACACACACACACACAGTATGAAACGAGACCTCCCAATACAGTGCCCTCTCCAGCCTAACTGTTAATGTTATGATAAAAGCCAAGCCCAAAAAGTTACCTTGTTTTTCTGCTTCAGGTGTTAATTTATTTCAGATTTCCTGCTTGCACAGTTCATTTTATCTCGACAGCAAGCTGACACTTAGTACAACCACTGTTCAGGGTGACTGTATTTTCTCTTTTGGATTAAGGTGATCTCGCTTCTTGTAGTTGCTTCAGATGTTAGGGCTGGGAAAGTTCAATCGCAGCATTTCAGTCTAGTCTGCTGTGTGGAGCTATTGGGTTTAAAGGGGCCATTTTAAACACTGTTTTAATATATTCAAATTATTGTGATTAAAACCATTGTTTTCAGATGAATAATTCGAGCAAAACGTTATTTATTGGTTTGCAAGTTACCCAGAGACAGCTCCACTGTGCACACATGGTACAAAGATGTCAACCTTTCCAGAGTGAACTGCACAAAGATAAAGCAATGGTGTCGTTCAGTTCTTGCAAAAATGTGCAATGTTGCGAGCATGAGTTTGCTACATCACATCATCTCGGAACACTGAAGAGTGCCTATTTTAGTCAGCAGAATGTTTATTAGTAAAACCAGGTGGAGCTCCCCTGTAACATTCAGTTGTCAGCTGATTCCCTACGTGCCCGCACCCTCTTCAAACCTCATTGAGGACCCCTCCACACAGGTGAAGTGGCTCACCTTGTCCCATGGAAATCTAAAACCCATTCTTAAGACACTAAAAACGTGGCCTCTTTCTTCATCAAACAACACGGCTATTCATTTACTCTGAAGGCACGACTAAGTAGCATTAATGAGCTGGGCAATGAAAGGAGCTAGCAAGAAATGGAGGAAACGAACAGTCAACGTAGAGGCCTCCACTTGGTGCATCCTCAATTACCTGGTGCCCTACTCATCCGCACACATTATTGCTCAATTCAACTGACATTTGGAGTCAAAATTAGGGTATTCCTAAGCACACATTGTTTCTTATTTAAGGAATGGTGTTATACTTTGCTTTGAAATATCCTCCCGATGCCTGAATAATGGTTGATGGCAACCAAACTCTGCAGAAATGCTCTTGGTGAGACCATCTTGGATTCACATCTTGACCGGCATCATTTGAGTGCTTAAAAATGGTCTTTCTGGGTTTATTCTGGGGACTGTGGCCTAACTAAATGTTAGTGTTAGACCAGTGTTCCTGGTGAAGCCAACGGAGGTTAATTTCTTTAGCAGAAGCCTCAATGAAATCTTTGGAGCCCGTTTAGGAATATTCCAAAATTGACCCCCATTCATACTTTTAAAAAGTCTCCAAGTCAAGAAATAAAAAGAAAAGTTGCTCTAACTTTGTCTATTGCAAAGAGCAGACTTGACAATAACACTGATGGACTCATTTTACTCACCTATTTACTTTAGTAAATGCTACAATAAATTAATTTAATGCAATTTGTTTTCTCTTTGTTTAATCCAGTTATCACATCATTGAATGAATCCGTAGTGTTGACCCAAAAAGGTAAGAAAAGAAACCTGCTGGGTAGCGGGAACAGATTACAAAGCAGCAAATTCTTGCTTTGCAGCAAACATAAAGCAGTTTTTCTTTAATTTCATGTCTGCGGGGGAAAGGAAGGGGGTAAACACAATCGTAATGTGTGAACCTGATCAATCTAAAGTTTCAGTTTCAAAACTACCACAGAACTCAGTCCACGATAACATCGGAGGTCAGATTTGTAACCTTAATTTCTCCAGCTGATCCCTGGTGCTTGTCTCCCGCTAGTGGACAGATCCAGCTATACCACACACGCTGAAAGAAAAAGGGAAGCACACACTAATTATTGTTCAGTGTCCAGTTGGGGTTATCCCTTTTAGTTTCTACTTTGGTTTGCTATCAGGAGGCAGACTATCCAACAGGCATTTGAGCTGTTCCTCCCCCAGTTTGATCTTGTCCTCCAGCTCCCTCTGCTCGATAATGAGGGCTGATTTCATCTTCACAAAGTGCTCATAGTCTTGGAGATGCTCCTCTGTCAGGTAGCTGGATAAGATTTCGAACACCACCTTTTCCCTCCTGTCCAGGTTCTCTTTCAGTTCTTTAGCATCTTCGTGTTGCCTCGTAAGGAGTTTTTGCTTCTGAGTAAGGGTCCTCTGCAACATAAAAATCCAGCAAGTTAAGATTTTTTAATTTAATATACAGTACATGAATGCAAATCTGTACCCCATCCTTTGTTAAGGTACAGTCAGAAGCTAGCAGGTTTGAGCAGCACAGGCCCTTAAATCTCAATATTAATTTATAGGAAAGTGCTCTCGTACTTTGTCCGGAATGACACTTTACACAAAAAAACATTCAACTGGCTGAAGAAATCATCCATTTGTTTCAAAATATATCCATATGAATTGAGAAACACAGATGAAGTCCCATAGTGCAGAGTAAGACAATTCCTACTGATTGGTAAGTCAAAAGGACATAAATTGAGAAAATTGACAAGAAAAAAGGTTAGAAGAAAGAATTATAAGCAGAGCATTATCAGATTATGGAATCGTTCACCACAAAGGGGGGCTGAAAGGAATGCACAAAGCTGTCCATCACAATATTTAAAGGGGAAATGGATAAATAATTAAGGAAACTAACAATAAAGAATATGGGGAAAGGGCAGGGGAATGATATCAGACTAGATAGATGTGGTGGGAGAGCCAGCATCAGCACAGGGATGGAGGGTAAATGGGTTTCTTCTGTGCAGTCCATGATATCCTTAATGAGCACTATATACCAGAGATCTCTTTAGATCGAGTGACGTTTGCTAATGGTCCACCATATTTTGAGAAGAAACTGAGCCAGGGTCCCTGGCATCAAAACGGTTGAGAATAATCACTCTACATCTTACGTGATGGACATCAGGAAATGTTGAATGCCCATCAGGCTGCTTACCCTCTCTTCTGGAGAGGCGCTCTCATCCAACGTGTTCAGGGCATTTTCCACTCTGGCCAGCCGACCAGAAAGAGACAAGAGCAGATTGACCACTTTGTCCAGGTCTCCGATAAACATTTTAAACTTGTCAAACTCGTTGGGCTTGCAGACCTCTTTCACGTACACCTCCACCTCCCCACCCAGTAGATTGTTGGCCTGGATGTCGTCCTGCAGGCTCTCGCGGGCTTCTCGCAAAACCTGCAGCTTCTTACTGATGCTGTCAATCAGCTCTTGCTGCGGGACACAGACATGAAGACAAGATTTAAACCATGAAGCCTCTGAGCTTTCTGGGGCTCTGTGACTGAACATCACTGCCTCCCAAACAAATTTATAACAATAACAATAAACCTTACATTTGATGTAACATCATATCAGGTCGTTGAGACGTGATAAGGTCTTACATCAAATGTAAAGTGCTTCACAGAATATATTGTAAATACTGTGTATTTTGTTGGCAAAACTCAGCAGCTAATTGCACACAAACAGTCGTGGATTGATTGAGTGACTTTTTTTTGTCATTATATTGTTAGAGGGAAAAAACCATACAGAAGCAGTTTACAAAATTCTAATGCTGTTGCTTCTTAAATGGTTTTATTATGTGGCTCTATGAAGAATACTGTACCCACTTTTAGATATATTACTTATCCATGCCATGATCCACTCTGCCTTCCCCCAAATCTACAACATCGCCCGCTCTGCCACTGCCTCTCCCCTCAGGCCCCTAAATCTCTCATTCACGCACTTATTACATCTAGGTTTGACTATGCCAACTCCCTGCTTGTCAGCCTTCCCGACTCTTCCCTCTACAAGCTGGAGATCATCTAGAATTCTGCAGCTCGTGTCCTCTCCCGCACTAAGCTCCATGACACATCACCCCCACCCTCTCCCCATCCTCTATAGGATAGTTTGAAATCCCAACCTTGCCTTCAAAGCACTCCATGGCCTTGCTCCTTCCTACCTCTGTGACCTGCTAACCCCATATCAACCTGTCCGGTCAGCAGGCTCTGGCCTGCTCTACGTCCCCCACCTGTCATGCCCCACCAATGGCGGTCAGACCTTCAGCTTCTCTGCCTCCACCCTTTGGAACTCCATCCCACAGTCCTTTTGCCTCTCTCCTTCCCTTGCCTCCTTCAAGACACGTCTCAAGACCCTCCTCTTCGACCGCACCTTCGGCCACCATCCGGCCCCCTACCCTCTTCGATCCCAACTCCCCATCCCCCGCTCGGGTCCAAATCCCTGACTATCCAGTACCTTGGGCTGTCCTCCCGACGTAAAAGGCGCTATATAAATGTAATTTGTTATTGTTGTTGTTTTATAAATTTATGAACGAATTAACGGCCACTAATTGTTACTCAGAGATGCTGTGTGGCTCTGCACGAGTTAAGCTGCGACATGTTGTTGTGACCTGCTCACAAAGCTCATTGTCCTGGGCATGGAGCTGAGAGAGGCATCTGGACTCTCCAATGAAGGAGACAAAGTTACCTCAGACCACACTCTTACCCCAAGGTTTCAGAGTGGCATTGGTGGAAGACAGGTGTAGGTCTCATAATCACTACGTAAACCTCCATTCTGCCCTTCCTCAAGTGGGAAGACGAGAGAAGGGAAGAAAGTGTCATAGAAATTGAGCCTCACCTCCAACCAAAAAAACAAAGAAAATAAATGTACTGTTAGGGTGTCTTGTTAGGTCAAAATGATTCAAAGCATTTCAGAAATAATGAATAATAACAATAATCCTTCCGTGTTATACATAGCCGTTCACGTCGAGGGGATGTCTCAAAGTGCTTAACAGGATTTACTGTCATTAATCCAGCTGAAACATTTGCCCCAGCAAGGTTTCACAACAGCAGTGATGTGAATGACCAAACAATGCAGTGAAACAGCTCCCCCCTTCACCCCTCCAAAGCTTCAGGCCCAGTACATCTGGAGAGTTTGTCCAGAGCTAACAGTGACTCTACTAATTAATATGGGACATGCTTCAAGTTCCTGAAGTTCTTTCTAACCTTCAATTAATTCATGACATTGTCCTGGTTGAAAACCAAAGCTGCCCAGTGCCTCACAGTTTCTTAGCAAACAGTGCAGCAGGCAGTCTGGGCTAATGGACTGAACCCAAACTGCACTGTGAGAGTCATGCCACTGGTCGACAACAGTGCCAAAACTGCACCTGTTTAGAGAAAGAGTCCACTTTCATATACTTCTAGTGTGTGTATTAGAAATAGGAGTAAGCTGAATACCACCAAGACAACTAATAAATAATTCCCAGATCATCAACGTCTGTGGGCTCTTTTGTTCTTACAGGGAACAATACCGTGGTATTTCTTAATTGATTTCTTAAGTAAGAAAAAGGAATAGGAATTATTTTCTAGTTATTGACAAGTACATCACACACATCACTCCAACTTGGGAGGAACATCCCCCCCCAAAATATAGATAGAGCTGGAGTTGTGCTCCATTTGTCTTCCAGTTTTCTTAATTATTGCTTTAAGAAATACAACAAAATACTGGAATGCCTCAGAGTCGGAAGGCTTTGGGTTCAAATCTCATGTCCGGACTTTGAGCTAATTATCCAGGCTGACACTCCAATGCAGTGCTGGAGGAATGCTACATTGTTGGAATTAGCCCAAAAGAATCCACCTTTGGATGGGGCGTTAAACTGAGGTCCTGTCTGCTTCTTCAGGTGGACGTTAAAGATCACGGGCCACTATTCTTCTGGTGTCCCTAAATAAAATACTGGTCATTTATTTCATGGCTGTTTGTAAGATATTGCTGTCCGATAAACAGCCAGACAGTGAGTTACCTTCTTTTCAGTAAGGTCATGGTTCAGTTCATCTTCAGAATCCTCTTCCTCCTCCATCTGCTGCTGCATGTCCTTCAGTTTATTCAGCAGCTCAGCCTTTGGTGCAGATGTACTGTAGTAAGTCGAGCTTGTAGTCAGAGAGACTCCAATCGGGGTAGTCTCCTCTTCATTCCTGGTGAAATACACACAGCCCATAATAAACATCCTGATTATCACACTCACTTACCTCAAACTTTATAACCCCATAGCCTGTCCCACGTGATCCAACGTGTACAAGTGTGGCATCCTAAATCTTATCAGGAGTCGGTGCTCCCATTAAATAAAATCATGGGACGTGGTATCTGAGTTACCCTGCCATTTGTGCTCAGAAAGGAATGTGCTTTTTATCTCCTTATTCAACTCCTTATAGTCCAATAGTCGAGGGTTAACAGTCTTGCAGCAGTCAAACACTCTCAATCTCTACTCATCTGGTGGGAGGCATATTTGGCTCTATGCTGGCCAACCAATCATCTGGTACCTGGCAGACTATCAGGGCGGGGTGCGTGGTTCTATGGTAGATACTGTATATCAGTAGATCTTGTCTCTTGAGGAGGGGTGTATATATTTCATCCATTTGATCTCTGGAGTCTTTTTGAAAAGCTAAGAGATCTCTGCAGGGGGAAATGTTAATTTGGTCTTTTGGAGTCTGATGGGAATAGGAACACAATCTTGGACTTGGGCCAATCGTTAAGTTTCTTGTACACTTATCAAAGTATATAGGAATAAGAAAACCCAGAACACCCCCAATTGGAGGGTTTAACTAAGTATTCAGTGCGGTCTAGAGAAGATCTCTAACCTTAATGTACGCACCAAATGACCATATCCCTTGGAATCATTGGATCGTTAATTCGAGAGTAAAATCTTCTCCTTTGAGCAAGATGAACAACAACAATAATTTGCACTTATATAATACTTTTCACGAAGGGAGAATATCTCAATGTGCTTCACAAAGAATGAGTGGGAGCCAGAGTTGGGAGGGAAATGGGGAAGGATGAGGGAACTGTAGGAGGGAGCTAGTCAAAAGCAAGGTCAAAGAGATAGGTCTTTATAAGCATTTTGAAAGCAAAAATTGAAGGATTGGAGAGTTCCTGAGGGCAAGTGTAATGAAAGCTCATTTGTCAATTATGGGGCCGAGTAAGCGGGACCTGAAAGCAAGCCAGAGATGGTGGAGTGGAGGGAGTGGCTGGAGAAATAGTCACAATAGATTGCAGAGATAGGGTGTAGCAAGGCCCCGAAGGCATTTAAAGGTAATGACAATGATCAATCTGCTAGTGGATGAGGAGCCAGGCGAGGGCGGCACAGCCTATTGAGGTAGAGAATGCAGATGGTGGATGAGAACTCATGAAATAATTGTCTCCCTGCCATTTACATTCTGATTTCCGATTCTGCTACAGACAGAAGCAACTTCATTATAACTGGCTTTAAATGATGGGGTTCCATTATCAAAACATTGATTCTACTAAGATATTCCAAAAGAAACAAACCATAAATGAATGTTCCTATTTTGATGCAAACCATGTGTTTTGTGGCCTGCTCACCCTGAGAAGTGGTACCTCTCTACTGTGAATTTGTCTGACTTAGAGACTCAGTGGGTACAATTAACTTAGGGATGCTAACTGCATTGTGGTGTCATTCAAAGCAATATCCTGATCAGATGCCTGCCAGCAATGCATAAGCTGCACTGCAAACAGGCAACAGATTTTCTACAAAGTGGTAGGAAGCAACTGCCAGAGAGGGATCTAAGTCTATCTGTGGAGAAAAGCAGATTATCAGTCACATTGGCATCTAGGTCTATGATTGTAAAATGCTACGGGTTGTGATCTGAAATTAGTAGGAAGGTAGAAGGTGAACAAAATGAATCTAGGGCAACACTTTCTTGCTTGAGATGTGGCGCCTGGTGTGTGGAGGATCATAAGTATAACCTCTCTGCCCTGGAGAAACAGCCTTATCTACAGAGTAAGACTACTACTAATAATAACCCTAATAATAATAGTGCCTTATCACGTTTTTGAGACATCTCAAAGCACTTCACATGATATACTGTAATAAAGTGAATTGACTGCAGATTTTGTGGGCGAAACTTGGTCGGCAATTGTGCACAGCAATGACCTACAAACAGTTGTGGATTGAATGACCGAATTATTATTTTTTTTGAAGGGATTATTATCTTTGGAAAAGCAATCCGCCAATCGACTAACAACCAGCCTCCTACTTACTGTTAGATGAACAGAGCTTGTGGAGTAAGGAAACTTGCCTAATGTTTCGCCCCAACTAGAGACTGGGTCTTCTCGCTTGCAAGGCGAGCGCGCTAACCACTATGCTTTAGGACTCAATGAATGCCATTACACTGCTCCCTCAGGAGAACCTACTTTAATAGTATGCTACACTTGAATTTCTTGACTGCTTACCGTTCCTCCATAGCTTTGGGAGAAAGCGACTTGGGAAGCAGCTTCCTGCGTTGTTGTGCTTCCTCAAGGAGAGCCTCATCTTTGGGGAAAATCCCTTCCATGAGATCCATGGTAGTCTTCATTTTGGAATTCGGGTACAGAATATCAGCCAGAGATTTGTCTTTGTCCACAATCTCTCTTGCCAGTTCTTCAGACTTGGGGTCCTCAATGTTTTTTGCCTTCATATAGTTGGTCACAGCAGTAACTTGCTCACTTTCCTTAGAGTCACTTGTTGCTGCATCAGTCAGTGGTGCCTCAGTTACATTCACATCCTTGTCCTTGAGCTGCTCTTGCTCATGTCTGGAATATGCTGAGAAAAGTGAATAGGAATGTTCGGACGTGCCAATGGTTTTCAGCTGCTCTTTCTCTGAGTCGAACGGAAAACTGAGTGGTTCCACGTTATTCAGAAGGTTCTGCCTGCTTTCCTTCTCTGTCTGACTTTCAGAACGAACTATTTTAATCGGGACCTTCTTCACTGTTGTGTTGTTCTCCATCACTTTCTCAATTCTATCAAGGTAAAAAAATATTTTGGTCAGAAAGGACAAAATGAAGAGACACCCAAAGAGAGAATAGCAATGCAAAGATAACACAAGAGACAGGCTAGAAAGATGAGAGGAAACAAGAGTAAGAATTATTGCCCATCTACAAGCAACAACTGATCATTAGTTAATTCCAGACGCTTCTCAATTTGCAGTTCTTTGAACACAAACCGTCTATTCATTACATCTAACCAGGATAAACTGTATTAATCTTCTTATTGAATATTACAAATAATATTGATGGATAGCCTCAGAACTCTGTACATTAACAAACAATCTGGAAGAACACAGCAAAGATAACCTAGCCTTTCAGCCCAACTGGCTCACTCCAGCTTCCATTGTATTTACATTAACAGAATAATGTTCAATGGGAGCAGAATCCTAATATTCGAGAAGGATGAGTTGGTCCAACAGCAACAACTTGCATGTATATAGTGCCCTTCACACAGGGTAAAGTCTTGGAGTCCAAGCTGGACAAGTGCTGTCTCACGTGGGTGCTATTAATTCTTATCCAAATCCCCCTAACTGTTTGGCTTCTACTGTTGTTTTTTCATTTACTTCCTTCCCCCATTCCATCTTTTTCCCTGAACTCAGTGATTTCCCATCTCTTCTGTGACTGGTGCACTGAAAAGCTTAAGGCATCAGCTTATCAACAACTTTAAGTCTAGTTGAGGTGTTGCCATGCAGTGCCTGACCATAATTTACAACAAATGCACATCCTAAAGCCTCATTTGTCTCTGGCCTGCTTTCCTCAGAGCTTCCCTGACTGGTTGCCCAATGGGATCAGTAAAATTAAAGGTCAACGCAACTTCAAAAATGACTGTTGCCATTGTGGTCCCTGTCCATTCTTTAATTGATTCTCTCTGAATATGACGCGATCAAAACAAAACTCATTACCAGAGTCTAACCTAGATAAAAAAAATCTATCTGTCAACTGGGCCATGAGAACTTTTAAACTCATTCATGTAGTGTCAAATGATGGTACACAAAGAAGTCATGGTATCCTGTTAACCAGTAGCAGAAATAAGCGAGAGGACCGATATCAAGTCCCAGTTTTACTGCTATGTTTCCAAAGGATACCTGCGGTTCCTATTTCCAGACAATTTGATACAATCAACTCTTGTCAAGTAGCTAGTCATTATTTAATCATTACCTTGCAAGGCTGTCGTCTTCCACAGTTAACGGTGGCTTATCAGTGAGTCTCTGCGGGGCAAACTGCGGAGAAGGGGTCCTCGGAACTTCAATCGAGGGTTTTGGGAAGAAATGGAAAGAAGGGATTTTGTTATCTCCTTTAACCTGTGGCTTCCCTGTTTGGGCGTAGTCACTTGCCGGGTATCTGTCGAGCTGGGGTTCTGGATTTACCGCTACCTTTGGTGGTAGTGGGGTCTCTGTGCTGCCATTTGATACTTCAGCTGCGTTCGTGGACATCTGGCTGGACCCACTCTGTTCTGTTGGAGCAGAGTTTGAAGCCGCAATTAGACCTGAATTGGGGGTTTCCTGGCGCCTGTGTTTGTCTACTTTTGGAGGAGGGGGTCTCTGTGGTGCCGTTAACCTTCTCCTGTTGCTCTCTGCTGCTAGTTTCTCCTCTGCCCATGCAAGTTCCTCTCCTGTCGTCCAATATTTATTTAGTGCTTGACCTTTGGGGCAAGTCTGAGGAACCAACACGTCTACTTTTTTTTCTATTTCACCCTCATTGGTCTCTGGGTACCAGTAGCTACTTGGCACGGTGACAGATCTGCTGTGATCTTCCTGAGATTGCAGCTCGCTTGTCTGCACATTTCGGCTTGATGTCTTCCACTGGTGCTCGAGAGTTTGTTCACAGGAAAGCCTTTCTCCCTCTGATGTGATTTCCTTGCATCCTGGATCCAATTGTCTGCTAATAAAAAAAAATCTTAAACTAAGCATTAAGAGTTTTGAACATTCATCCAGAAGAGGTCAGAACTGCACAATGAATGCAGAAAACTTCAGAAATGTGCATGCAATAGACAGCCCAGTACATCAACAGGACATTGCCTTGTGGTGCCCAACACTGAAATCACAGTTATTCTCTGTTGGGGTAAAATTCCACCTGGGATTAGATTTAATTTAATAATAATCATAATCCTTGCATTTGGTACAGCATCTTTCAAGCCACAAGGACGCCCCAAAGCACTTCACAGGATTTACTGTGTGTAAGTGCACAGTAATCAGCAAATCATTCAATTATATTTTAATTTTGAAAACCATTTTCTGCAGTTCTTAAAATAACATGGAAAATGGGCTTCAAAATTAAAGACTATATTTAAGAATTTTCCAAATTCTGGATACTCAGAAATGTATCAAGAAAATCTGGATTAAGGTGGAATTTCTACCCATATTACTAAGAAAAAACACCTCCTCACCTGTGTAGTGAATTACTCCAATCGAGGGGGAAAGGGGAGAGAAGGGAAAACAGGATATCAATAGGGAAATAGAGAATTCTTCACTCATGCAGCTTCCAATGTCAACCACAAGACTGTTGTGAGGCATAGAATGGAGGCATATCTATCCATCATTAGAAGGGGCAAGTATCCTTAGGTTGCATTCAGGGACCTTGCAACAGTTGGTTTCAAACTAGCACTGGTCTAGGCTTAGGGCTAGGCTGTTGTCATGATCAGGAATGCCATGTGCATTGAGCAGCCAACTGAGGAACAAAAGAAAGGGAGCCTCGCATGGAAACCATTACAATCTGGTAACTCCCATTCCTGTGAAGGTTTCAGCAGACAGACCCAGGTGAAAAGGAAGATTGTTAAGAATGCCCGACAGGCAATGGCAACTTGCAGGACAGCAGTGAGGTTGCAAAGATGGCAAGAGGCAGGCAGGAAAATAGCTGCAAAGCTAAGAGAGAAGCTGCAAAATGAAAGAAAGAAGACACTGCAAATGAAGTAATACTAAGCAAGCAAAACAGCAAGAAATCCAGTATGAACAAGCCCCTTCCTGTCAGGATAGTGACACTCCCAGACTTGGCATCCTTTTGCACTCTGGTCACAAGAATGTCCGCAATGTTCCTGGTGACTCTGTATTCCTGTTTGTTTGTTGTGAATTACTTTAAATTAGGGCAAATCTAATTCCTTTTGTACCCATGCACACCTTTGCACCCGATTAATACAAACTACAATATTTGAAATGGGTTGTTAATCTACAATGTGGAAATTAAATGCTAACATAATTAAGCCATAAATGTCCGTTCCAGCATAACCACAGGGTCAAATACTGACCAAGATCAGCATGGGTTTTATGTCCCACAGGCTGTCAAGGTATTGATGCATTGTGATATGCATAAAGTACAATTAGCAAAAAAATGTCATTCTGGGAGTTTCAGGACTATCTAGATTCAAATTTGAACCCATTCAAACTCCCACAGAGTCTCACAAATTCTTAGGAACGGAGCTCTGAATAAGAAAGCAAGCAGATAAAGGAGGTAGCGCATGACATTCATGAGTTATGGTGTTATCATGCAAACAAAATAGTGTGCACATCTGGGCAGAATATTCCAATCTTAAGTCATCTTTCACCCCTTTAGTTGGTTTTAATATATCATTCCATCAAAATGATCAACCCAAATAAACCTGAATTGGGATAAACCATCAAGCTCCTAATGCTATGACAAAGACTTGTGCAATTATTTTGCTTAATGCAGTACTTCAAAGTCAAACCTTTACATTCATTCTGTAATAACTGACAAGAGATCAAACCTTGTTTGGTAGATTTTATATTCAAGAGGTATTGAATCTCGTTCAAGTTCCTTGTCTGTGCCCATGCTTTCGGCATTCTTTCCTTTACCCAACCTCTCGGCTCCCACCCCCAGGGCTGGTGCTCAACCAGCATTGTTAAATCCTTTGGGAAATCCTCCAGATGTGAAAGGTGCCATATAAATGTAAATGTGTATTGTGTTGTGTTAAAGGAGACTGTAGTGGAATACTGTAGTTAATGTATCACAAGTCACAATTTTATCTCAATAATTGAACGTTTTGCTGTGGGTTCCTGCTGGGGAACTATTAAGGCCGCCCAATACTTTTTTTGTGCTTCTAATGGTACATAAGTAATAGTTCTTGCACTTTGATATAGCGCTTTATCATTTGAAATGTTTCAAAATGTTTCACACAATGAATTACTTTGAAGTGTACTGTCTGTCATTGTGTGTGTGCGCAAATGGTGCTAATCTGTACCAGCAATAAGGTTACTGACTAATAAATCATTTGTGGGGGGTGATTTTGAAAGAGGGAGGAATATTGGTCAGGATGCTGACAAGTCTCCCTGCTCTTTAAAATAGCACCACAGAATCTTTAATACCAGAATAAACAGAACAGGCATCTCAATTATCATCCATCCAACCAACATTTAAAATATTCACTGAGATTTGGTTTGACCTTAAAGGTAAAAATGAATGGAAAGTTCCAGGAAGATTGTGTTAAAGGAGACTGTAGTTAATGCATCACAAGTCACAATTTTATCTCAATAATTGATCACTTTTTATGTAGCCAACAAAAGGGGGCTTCAATTTGGTAGAAGGTGCATCCACTTAAGGATTTTTCAAATCAGGTGAGAGGTAGCCAAGCCTGTGGGTGTTAGAGAGGATGCATACAGTGGGATAAATTAGCACTCTGAAGGCTTCAGCTGGTTAATGGTCAAAGTAAGCCTTTAACTCATATAACATGCAAAATAGATCTTACAGTTCAGAGAAGAGAGAGAGAAAGCGTACTTCAAGCACCTGCAGCGCCCAGTGGCAAGAACCTGCAAAGTGTGAAATAACCACAGGTAAAATGTCCAAAGAACAGTCACGTCCCCTTCCCATAATCCATTTCCTTCAACAATAATACAGATAGTCACAACAGAAGTAGCATAAATTCAAACTACAGGATATATCCAGGAACAAGATTTTACAATGTCAAAAGCTATTAGTGGACTGGATCATAGCTCATAGTGGAGTCTTGTAGCTCAGTGGTTAGAGCACTCGCCTTACAAGCGAGAGACCTGGGTTTGATTCCCGGGTGGGACAAAATGTTGGGCAAGTTTCCTTAGTCCACATGCCTCTGTTTACCTAGCAGTAAGTAGGAACCTGATTGTTAATCGATTGGCGGATCGCTTTTCCGGGAATAATAATTCCTTTAAAAAAATGATAAATTTGTCACTTCAATCCACGACTGTTTGTGGAACATTGCTCTGCGCAATTGGCTGCCACTTTTCGCCCACAAAATATAGTCAATTTACTTTACAGTATATTCTGTGAAGCGCTTTGAGACGTCTCTAAGATGTGATAAGGCGATATATCAAATGCAATGATTCTTATTATTTATTATAGCTCTCTACCAAAAAACTTTTTTTTTTCTTAGGCAAACTATTTTTTGTGTGGGACTGCGAGAGTAGTGGGAGGTGAGGACAATGAGCAGGCCATCCGAGGCCCACAATTCCACCTAGCCTGTAGAATCACTCCATCTAATTGGTGGGAGGCTTGTCCACCCCTCTAACTTGGTGTGTGGAGGGCGGGGGGGGAAGGGGGGAATGGCACACATAAGCCATTCCTTGATCAAAACCCGGACCTTCCTATGCTGTGTGGCCCATTTCACACTGTAGACTCCCTTTAACAGCCAAGCTCAAGGGTGAATGAAGCTTACATTTTGTTTAGACAAAATTTAGACTGCTATTTTCTTCCAATTCAGAGCCACATTCAAAGAACCCAATAACTTAACTGAATGATAAGATGATATAATTTGGCCACATGTACCCAAACACACCAAGAAGATTTGCCAAACACATTCCGTTAACAGTGATGCCCCTTTAAAAACAAGATAGCATGTGGCAGATATGTAGTGCTTCTAAACCAACCACAAGTGTGTTAGTTTGATTGTAAGTTGTCCATTGTTCCAGCCTTGCTGGGCGAGGCTGCAACCACATCACATATGGGAAATGGAGGACACTTTAATGCTATGGATTCATAATATGGCTCAGACTTCCAGGAATTGAATGTGTAGGTGATAGAAGGAGACTTTCATCTAATCCGCCTAGAATGGGTTCAGTCACAATTGCCAGAGGTGAAAGTAACTTTGTGCACCACCCATTTCTTTCATGTTGTAAAGTTTTGCTGGCAGCTAAGTAAAAAACACTGCATGAGTAAACACTACAGAATAAATCTCCTCAGATTCTTTATCGGCCCATAAATGTGACTTAAAACTGTAAACATTAACCCACGTTACAGTCACTTTCCCAACGTGGGATCAGGTTTATGAATTCATTGCGGGTGAAACACTAGTCTTTGTATGTGCCTACGCTTTGTGTCTGTGAGCCTGTGCGCTGCATTTGCATGTGCTGTGGTGTACTGTGTACATGTGTGCATTCTCTTTGACCGTGCTTTCAGCTCCCCTCTCGACTCTCTACCCCCTCCTCGCTCCCTCCCTTCCCTCACCCTGACCATTTCCCCCCTGCTCGGGTCCTGACCCAACTGTACAGCGCCTTGGGACGTCCTCCCGACGTGAAAGGCGTTCTATAAATGGAATCTTGTTGTTGTTGTGTTGTGTGTGCAAGTGCACATGCTGTGGTATGCAATCTGATGCATATGTGTATGTGTGTACATAGTTCTTTAACTAGGTAAGGATTAAAATTGCAGAACACTCAGTTTTTCTGATTTTTTCCCGCATATTTTACATCTCCTCCTCCCTCCCCAAGGCAATTTTCTCCCTTCAAACCCTACAGCAAGGTCTGACTCCATGTCCCATTTATTGCCACCAATTCTTTCTTCCCCTTTCCATTTCTTGTTATTTTGCTCACTTTTGTTTTGCTTAGAATCATAGAATTATACAGCACAGAAGGAGGCCATTCGGCCCATCGTGTCTGTACCGGCTCATTGAAAGGAGCTATCCA